ATCAAGAATATATATGGTTTATAGGGTCGGAAATGACTCCTTCACTGCGTTTTTATCTTCTGACTGAAGCTATACTCTGCAAAAAGGTATAAAAACAGAGAATTTTCTTAAATAATCGGAGTTTTCCGAACATCATAATTAAGCCAAAATAGCATTAATTTTGATTCGGAAGTATTTTCTGTGCAAGACTTAAAAGCATTAAAAATCTGCATACTGCGTTTGTTGATGCTGTTATAAGTTTCTGACTAAAATTATAATAACCTGCAAAAAGGTATAAAAACAGACAATTTTTCCCAAAAATCATAGTTTAAAAAAACTCATAACTAAGCCAATAAATCATTAATTTTAATTCGGAAAGCTGTTCTATGCTAGTTTTTAGTAGATGAACAAAGCTGCATACTCAGTTTTCAAATTTATAGAATTCAATTTATTGTCAAATTTTGGCAATTTTAATGATGTAACCCTTTATAAAATTTTCAATTTTCGGAAAAATGTCAAAAATTTATTTCTTGACCGGACATGGCTAGAACGACTGGGCTGTTGATGCTGATCCAGAATATATATGGTTTATAGGGTCGGAATTGATTCTATTTCTGCATTTTAATCTACTGACTGAAGCTATACTCTGCAAAAATGTATAAAAACAGAGAATTTTCCTAAATAATCGGAGTTTTCCGAACATCATAATTAAGCCAAAATACCATTAATTTTGTAATGATCATTTTTTAAGGGGTTACATTATTAAAATTGCCAAAATTTGACAAAAAAAAATAATTTTCAAAATGTGAACCTAACAAAAACAAGCCCTGAACAGTTTTCCAAATTGAAATTAACGCATTTTTGACTTAGTTAAGCAATTTTTAAAATTTGATTTATTGAAAAAATGGTCGTATAAAACTGTTGCTAAATAGGAATGCGAATATGTTTAGTTTAGTTGTGATCAATGTCAAAATGATCCTTTATAATAAACTTAGTCTTCCCGAAGTTTGTTTCTTTTTATAAATCTTTTTTTTAGACCCTCTTTTTTATCCACTCAACAAAAGCCATTTCCAGTACAAATTTATCAAGGGAAGAGTTTTGCAATATAAAGCTTTATTTATGATCAATCTGTCGCTCGCAGTTACTGTTATTCTGGGCCCGTTCTGGGCTGCATTGCTCCATTTAACACACATACACTCCGAGCCGGAGAGGGAATGTTTTGGCCATAAATTGGCATTTAAATTAATTCACCTTGAATTATGCGCTTTGTGCGATAAAAGGGAATCACTCGGCCTGGGGATTGGGTTCGAAATCGGTCTCGGCCAGGGCAGGCAGCCCCCCACAGCGTAATTTTCAATCAAAAACGCACATCCGCGAAATTATCATGAACTCAGCATAGCAGAGTGGACCCGTATGCCGGGATCGGGTGAAGAGATTATCAAATTGATTCCAATTAACACTTGCCACCGCTGCAAGGACTGCCAGACGATGGCGATGTGGACAGTGGACATTGCCCATCGGCCGCCGGCGGTTGCATTCCTTTCTTCTCGGCGGACTGTATGCAAACGTTATAAATATTTCACTCCTTGTGTGCTGTTTACGGTTAGCAGCCACAATATCCCGGCAGTTGGCCAAAAGGGAGATCAACTTTATGGCCAACACCAGACTGCAATCCCTTTCTCTGCCGCGAACGAAACACGCACATAACTTTAAGCGCACTTTGTCGTAATTCGTAATTCGAATTGACAAACGCTCCTTGGTCCCAGTTTGCCTTGGATCTTAATCTTAACACTTGCAAAAAGATTGGAGTCTGGAACAAGTACATATGAAAGTCATACCTAACAGATAATATAAAATGTTTTCCCTAAATTAATTATCAGTTTTCTCTCAGTAGTATACTTCAATATATTGTGGACTTATATCCATTACATATTTTATATTCACATATTTAAATTAGGACCTGATCATATAAGCAAAAAGACAGAAACAGCATTTGTTCTGAGTGCATTGCCTTAGCTGGTGTTGGCCAAGTTTGGCTCACTTTGGTTGGACTTGTGTGAAATGATAAATATTCCATAATTTCGCCTGGCATTCAATTTCGATTCGTGTGACACATAAATTACGAATTAACGCTTTAAGCCCAAACAGACGGAACAGAGGTTGCCCTCTTAGAGCTGGCACACTTCCTGGAGTTTAGGAAAATCCGTAAAGCTTGCCCTAGGGGTAAATGAAAATGGCTAAGAAATAAGACTTACTTACCACTAAATAACTTAAAATTGGCATATCGCTAAGTTACTGTTAATCAACATGTACATTTTGTCCAAGATGATAGATATTCCAATGTGTAGTATTCGTATATTTTATCATATATCTTAGTTCTCATATCGCCCGAGCGGGTGATAACTGACATTTTTACCAGCATCGTAACAATCTTAATTAGCTGTACCAGCTGTAAATCAATCCACCTGAGCACTCTCATATCATGAGCACCGCAAACCCTCGCTTTTTCTATGAAACCCAAGCAGAAGTCTCTCTCACGTTCTAAACTGCCGGCTGACAAGCGGGGCAACTTAATTAAGTTGAAAATTTATGAAGTTCTTTATCAACAGAAATTCATTAGCTTGAATCTAAAACAAGTCTCGCCATACAAAGTATAAATGAAAGAGAAAAAATAAACACACAAAATAATTTCCTTAGAAAAGGATTTCCCCTGGAAATGCAGAGTTAGTCCAAAAGTTCAAAGCAAGGACTTGCCTGCAATGAGGCATACGAAAAGCCAAAAGATGCGCACAAAAGATGATTAATAATCTCCAAGACAGACCCTGCCCTGACTCCCAAGTGCCATCCCCCATCCTGGGAAAATCGCGCGACAAGACAAATGTCCTGGCTGCGTGGTCTCTTTCACAGTTAATTTAAGTTTCCACGCCAAACGGATGCAGGACCTGGCTGGAAAAAAATCTGCTGATTTTGTCAACTGTTTGTCGCTGATAAAATTATTAGCCCTCCTTTTGTTTTTCGCCCAGTCTCCTGCGATGGAACCGGAACCAAGGAGGAGGATACAACTTTTTGTTCTGTAGCTTGAGCTCGAATTTTCGTATTAAAATGCAAATTTTTTGTTAATTTTGTTGTTTTTTGTCTTAATCAGCGGGCAGCCACAGGCCCACTGCGGTTGCACTTGGCTGATGATGAATGGTGAACCCCGGCGTATGTCAGGAAGCTGGACCAGGCATCAGGAGTCAGGATTCAGGGGTCCTGGTCCCGGCTGGCTGTAATTGTTTTTTCCCCAATTTATTTTTATATTTTTCTAATTTTCCCTTAGCTTACGTTTTTAATTTCCACTGATGAACTTGTAATGAGAATATTTTTCTATAGAAGTATCATTAAAGAAATACCAAAATGCCCTGCATCCATAAATAAATTAATTAAATAAATATAAAGGCTTATGCGATGCACAGTTTGTTTTTAGTTGAGGCCATTAGTTAAACTCTTAGTTAAGTGCTTGTGAGCCAAATTTTTATGTTATGTTTTCCTATCTGTCGGCCATCTGAAGACACCGCACTCGGTTCACAGACGCGAGCGAGAGACATAAACAATTAAACTCATTTGACGATTAATTACGCGCCGCTTCCAAATCGCGTGTGCTGCCGGCAAAATTGTTCTATCAAAACACAGCAACATCAGCAGCAGCACCACCAGAAGAGGCTGAACAAAAAAACTGGCAACGAGAACATCACCCACAGCTAAAGTACAAATTCATTTGCTGCTAAAGACACAAGAGGAACTCGCATGTCGTGTCATAATCTTGATGAATGCATAATTGCATGCCATGCGGTTGCAGTGCCCCCGGAACACAATCCCCCCATCCATGGCAACCCCCGTTGGCATCTTCGTATCGAAATGGGTTTAAATGTCAACCAGCATAAGAGTGTTCCCAAAAGAAAGACCATTTTCATAATATTTTCATGTTTTTCAATAGACTAATAGAATATATATTGAAATTACTTCCGTACACTGTGGAAAACCAACCAAAGAAGGGATACATGTTCAAGTAAATAATTTGTATACATTATTAAAATATTTTAATTTAATTTTCTGTAAGGTTCTTACCCATTTTAAATTAAATTGTAGACTTACTCGTACTGGTTCCAAAACTTTTATATTTTTTATTCAAAATATACATTAATTTGGTAGATTTTACAATATATTTTATTTATTTTTAGAGTATTTCCATCCAAGCATGCAATTCATGAATTATGCGGCAATTAATTAGACGAGAATAGAAAAAGAAACCCGAAACTAACCCAATCCCCATTGAACCACCATCATCATCATCATCATCTTGACTCGACTCATTCATGGGCTTTGTGCATTTCAGGGAGCGACCGAGGAGACTTGGGTGACCTAAATTATTCAATTCATTTTTATTTATTTTTAATTTTTTGATTTGTTGCAATATTTCCCGCACTCCACCCCGTTCCGCCGAGGGTGGGAGCAAAGGGGTCCGCTTGTTTGTGTAACTATTTATTCTAATTTGACCCGCTTATTGAGAGGCCCACCCTTCGGGCCCCAAACTCACCCCGTTGGCCATTAATTGATGCAGCCACTTAAATGATGAATCACTTTTTCATTAAAATTTGACTTTGAGTGTGACCCTCATGTGGCTGGCGTTGACTTTTATGTGGTTAATAGTTAGCATTTCAACTGATAGATGGGGAAATCGAGCCATGTGTTCGTAGTTCTGTCCGTCTCTTTGTTTGCCACTGCCCCCCATTCCAATGAACCAGAATCGGTAGTTTCTTCAAACATTAAACTCGTGCTGGTCAAAGTGACCCACAAAGCGAAGCATAAAGCCGATAATCGAGAGTGTACAGCGTACGAAACAATTTCGGAGAATCTGAAGAAGCACTCTGATAACACACCTGCACTTCAGAACCGCGAACGTGTGGGCGAAATGTTTGTAAATCTACGTATTTAAGCTGAGGTGAAGGTCGTCATAATACAGTTTAGCATTATACCAGCGAACGAATAGAAGCCAAGATGTATTTTCCCACTGCAATTATATATTTAGTGATTGTTGTGGCGGCAGTAGATCCATCCTTAAATCAGAGTATAACTATTGAGGAGTCCCCGGATTTTGTAGATTACGATGGTGCCCAAGCAGCGGCCTCACTTGCAGAAATTGGAGTAACCCAAGCCACAATTATAACGGCGACCCCAACAATTGACAATCTGTACAATTCTTCTGGAATAGTAAGCACAGGTTCTTCAACAACAGATGCCTCAACAACAGTAACATCTGCAACAACAGAGACTACAACCGTAGATACTTCTTCACAAACAGAAACGCCCACAACAGTAACATCATCAATAGATACTTCTACAACAGATACTTCTTCAACAGATACTTCTTCAACAGATACTTCGTCAACAGATAGTTCTTCAACAGATACTTCTTCATCAGAAACATCAACAACAGATACTTCTTCAACAGATACTTCTTCAACAGATACTTCTTCAACAGATACTTCTTCAACAGAAAGTTCAACTATAAGTTCCACAAGTTCTACTACAGTAACCGTTCCCACATCAACTGTTGCCACTACAACCACTGCCCAGCCATCAGAAGAAGATATATTCTTAGCTCTTCTCGCTGAGAATACAATTGCTCTGACCAAGTCTGACTTTTTGGCTAATATTGTGAACTCGCAAACCTCAAACATAGTTTCAGGCTTAGACAATCAAGTCAAGTCCTTAGCCCGGATTAATGACATCGAAAAGCTCCTGTTGAATGTGACGGGATCTCTTGCGGTTTCAGAAGCCGATCTTTTGCAAAGCTTGGTCAACTCCATATACAAAGTGGACTACTTTGGAAATCGAACTATTAATACTGTCTCTTATTTGCTTAAGTTCCAAGAATTAAATCGTGACCATGTTAAAAACTTTTCGAGTAAACTTATAGAAATGCAAGAGGAAATCCTGCGCAACTCAAAAGGATTGGACGATAAGCTAAACCTGATTAACCAGATACTTAAGCAATACATCACTCCAAAAGTTAATAGCTTGAAGGACTCATTTGGCAACATAAATGAATCCCAGGTTATGTCTGAAGCTGAACTGAAAAATCTGCCATTGCTTAGAAATCTCACCGAGACTTCCATTATTAAAACGAAATCCCTCCTTAACCAGCTGGCCATAATCAACCAAACTCAAGATAAAAGTCTATACTTGCTTGAGGAAGCTGTTCATAAACCGGAGTTTTCCAACCTTAAAAACATTAATGATCTTCTTCACAGCTTAAGCATTTCTCAAAAACGCATAGACTTGGCATTTTCGGTTTGTGAGAATAGAGGTTCGGAATATATTTCTATAGAATATGAACCTTTTTCGGATAAATACAGCAACGAGTATATCAAAAGCCCTTTAACTGACTCCAAAAACTGCTCCTGTAAGGCCAACATCTACGATGAATTTTCAGAAGGATCTTGGAATATTCCGACAGCAGTATAAAGAATTATATATTTCAAAGAACTTAACTTTAGTGTTCCTAAACCCTTTGTTGGATATATTATTAGGCAACATCACTATTATATTATGAAGCACATACACATACATATATTTCAAAATAAACTACTCTTTCAAAGCTATAAAATTGCCCAACCCTCTTCAGGATGCCGAATTAAAAACACTTTAAAGGCCAATACTTGAGAAATACATTTGGTGTTTCGAGTTTTCCGTTGTCAAGCACAAATTGTGCATGGCAAATATGCGGACTATTTTGGCTGGCTATCAATTTACGGACAAGGGAACACCGTGAAGCAGCCAGGCGAAATTGATACCATGATACCATGATGTCGGGGTACCCAGAACAAATCCCAGACCAAAACGAGAACTACAAATGTCTTTCAGAGGACGGAGAGGATGGCGCGAAACAAAAGTCAAAACAAGCGCAACATGAATGAACCTTTTAACATACTTGTAGTTACTAATTCCAGGTGACAGGCGACACAATGAGTCGGAGTGGATTTTTCATTTGTGGCCATTGTTGGGCCCACAAGGGGTCCGGGAATCGGGTCTCGGTGTTTTTTTGGGAAGAGGAGCAGCCCATAAACAGAGGACACAACACAGTTGTAACAGCAACACGGCTACAAAAGTGACCAAAATCAGGGGCTACTACCGCTGCCGCTGCCAAAGTAGTAACAGATGCGAAGGTGTTGCCGTTGCCCTCTGAGGGACCCGCCATCGGGAGTCCCGCATATCTCCGGGACTGTGGCCAAGAGCATCTCTCCGGGCACACGACAGATCCTTTTCCCTTTTGCTTAAATTCCAGCTTCTTTCTTTCCTTATTTATTATTTTTTTTGGCACAAGCCGGGCAATAAATTATCAGATACAAAATCGAGTCGAGGTCGAAGTCAAAACAAAGGCATAAACACTCGATGGACGACTGAGATGGCAACAAAGCACGCACTCGACCAATTGACGACACAAAGGACCAAAACAAAAACCAGAATCGAAATCGGAATCAGAAGCAAAACAAAACAAAACAAATCCGAGAGTCAGCACAGAATGCAGAATGAACAGAAGTATGCCCAAAAAGCCTGGCTTGAACCGAGCAGCGCATAAACACTGACAACATGCTGCGACATGGAATGGCTTGGAGAGTCGGGGAAGTCCCACATCCATGGACATGGGGTCCTACACCCAAAACAATCAGGCTTTAATAAGTACCTATTACATATAAAATGGGATATGTATTCCATGTTTCCGCTACTAAAAAGATATACCACTTTTAAGACCTTAGTAAATGCTTGTTTGTAATACCCAAGTACTTATTTATTGTGTGTCAAGGATAACGAAAGAAATATAGTCTGTGTAGATATTATATATCCAAAATAAATAAAATGTTTACTTTTTAACATTTCGAATAGGGTTTAGTTCAATATTTTACAAGTATTCGTATATAGTTTCCCATTTTCTTACCACTGTTAATACATTTTAAGTTTTATTAAACCGTTTCTCCCTTAAATGATTAAACCCTTCCTATCTGGTATCATTAGTAACAAAATCGTATAAAAATAAATAACTAACGATAATATTTTCTCTATGTGTAATGTCTGGAACTCTTTTGTGTGCTCTGGGTTATCGGAAGCAACGGCCAACGCACCAAATGACAACTTCGAGGGCAAAGTCAATGAGCGCCTTCCTGCTCCCTGTTATCGCCTGCTGCCGCTCCCTGGGCCACTCCATCACCACTGCGGCACTCGGACTCCCTTGGCTACTCCTGCTGACCGGAGGACAAAGGGATCCCGGCGTGTTGCAAATCAAAACATGAAAACAACGACAGCAAACAAAACTCTGAACATGCGTCGCAATGCTAAGAAATATTTTCACTCGGCCAGCTGAAACATGCAAACAGCTAAAGTTGTTCAACTTTGTTTATGGACCTGCTTGTCGATGGTGAGAAGAGGATTTTTCTGGGGGAGAATCGGTATCTACAGAGATACAGAGGATTTTCTATAGGTATTTTACAGATTTTAAGTTATTCAAGAAAATTAAAGCAAGCTCAAGGCAACATCTGCTATCCCCAACTCAAAACCTAATGCACAAATCCATAATTTAACATCGTTACCACTTAATTAAACCCAATTAATCTACAAAATAAATTATTAAATTTCAAAAGGCAACAAAAGTTAAATAACTTACACACACACACAGCCCGTCGAGAGATTTCGACACCCAAAACCCAAGGCAAAGGCACCAAAACCAAGTAACCAGAAACAGCACAGCATCTCAGCGGCAGAAGACCAAGACGATGAAGATGATGATTATGAAGCCACTAAGACAGAGAGAGAGAGGGGTCCAGAGTTGGGGATTTTTGGGGGGATACAGGATTGGTATCAGAATCGAGCCTCGCCAGCTCCATGCTGTGCGCGATTCATGTTCGGTGATTAAAGTAAAGTTCGTAAATTTACAGTTTTCATCAAAGGGGCGACTGTTAGTGGACTGGACTCACCTTTTCACAGTGCGCTGCTCCACTCTGCAGCCAGCGAGTTCGCCCAGAGTTCAGCCCAGGTGACTGTGACGGTGACTCTGCTTTGTCTATGACTTCGAACTCCTTCTCCATCTCCAGCAGCAGCATCAGCTCCAGCCCCAACTCCTAATCCGACTTCTGCCTCCGACAGCGTTTCCAAAACACTTGAAAATGTATTGATAACTCTTTAAAACAATCTACAAAATGTATAATTTAAAAATCGAAATTCAAAAAGGAAATTATTTTAGAAGGTCTTGAATAGATTTTCCTTTTTCTATTGATACTTTATTTTAATACATCAAAGCACAGTACATTTCTTTCCAGTGCACACACATATTCGTCGAAGCAGACTCCTTTGGCTTTTCCTAAACTGATTTCCCGCAATAAGCATTAGTTGAAAATTGCAATTGTTTTTGTAAGGGGCCAAGAGAGCAGGAGGGAGCCGGGCGGAGGGCACACCGCGGGGGAGTGCCAGTCTAAGTCGTAGTCCCAGTGCAAGTCCCAGTGCCAAAGCCAAAGCCAAAGCCTTTGCCTTTACTTGTGCCCAGCGATTGCACGATTCCCGGCACACAGGGAGATCCACGAGGAGGTGGCGGCAGAGGCACATCATCAACGTCCCCGGCCACGTCGTCAGTGCAGCAGAAAAGCTGAAGCTGAAAAATCCAATTGTATTTAACGAATTTTTCGTTGCCCTCGCTGCCTGGCAGACTTTACTCCGATGGGTGCACTATGCACTGAGCTTGGAACGGAGTCGGAGTCGGGTGATTCGGTCCGAGTCCGGAGCAGAGGGCCGTGAATCATATGGACACCATTAAATGGAAAGGTACCAGCAATGGCAATCACCAACACGCGTCAATTGTGCGCGCTGTGTGAGACCGAAGGAAAATGTTGGAAAGCTGCAATGCCAAGAACCAAGCAAATCTCCACAGTGATAGCCACCAAAACCAGCGATCGGATATGGTTAAGTGTCGTGACACGAATAAAAAGGGTTAACTAAGAAACTCTGATTTAAAAGATATATTTTTATATGACAATTTTTTTTCGAAAAATCATAGCTTAAAATTGTCCTAACTGAGTCAAAAACTCATTCATTTCAATTCGGAATGCTTTCCTATGTTTGTTTTCATTAGGTTAATAAATCTGCATACTCAATTTAAAACTTAAAATTTTGTCTATTTTTGACAATTTTAACGATGTAACCCCTTTCCTTTTTTTGAAAAAATTGAAATTTTATAAAATTTTGTTTTTTTGTCGGAGATAGCTAGAAAGATTCGCCTGTCGATGCTGATCAAGAATATATATGATTTATCGGGTCGGAAATGACTCCATCGTTTAATATTTAAAAAAAATCACTTTTTTGCCAATTTTTGACAATTTTAATGATGTAACACCTTATAAAACTTTCAAATTTCGAAAAAATTTCAAAAATTGTATTTTGACCGGACATGTCTTGATCGACTTGGCTGATCATGCTGATCAAGTCGGAAACGACTCCTTCACTGAAGCAAGGGTATAAAAATAAGTACAGAATATATTCAGTAAAATAATAATTATATTTCAAGTAGCTCAAAATAATTTTAAATAACTAATTTAAGTATTAAGCTTGCAGATCAAATAAATCTCCTAATAGCACGAGATCACCACCATCTCTGATTGCGGCCAGAAAAGCACTTTGGTTGGGGATCTCTGTTTGCTGGAAATGGGATTCTGCGATTCTGGAACTCTGAAACTCTGGGATTGCGCGACGTGAAAATGACCCTGGCTGGTTTCTGGATGTGCGGTGTCAGGGCTTATCAAAAGCTGGGACTGGCCAGCCGCAACCGCAACCATTAATAAAACCTAATAACAACATAAATGCCAATATCTTTTTAACAAATTTGCCCGACTGCTTCGCGCCAGATTTCGATAAGTGAACTAAATAACCAGATTAAAGCAGATCGTAATAAATGTAATTTGAATTTCCCGCACTGCGATGCTGCGATGCTGTGAGGCTGGAGCTGGATCTGGAGATCTGGTTGCCGGCCTGGCAGCCACATTACTTAATTGCCTCTCCGTGGATATCACTGGGCAATCGATCGTCACGGATTATCAACGTGTAATAGAGCCGGGCTTAAATTATGCGTTCGAATCGCGTCTTGCTTTGTGGAAGGGTTACCTGCATCGCGGACAGGTGTTGATTGCTCGGCCCCTCGACCAGCCTCCTTTGCATGTTGCCGCTGGAAAATGCCATCGGATGATGGCCAAGAAGATGATGAAGATGATGATGGCCGGCCGGGAACGTGTTGCAAATTATGGCACTTGCTACGTGAGAGGCTCAGGCAGAACGCAAATCGCAGTTAGAGGCAGTAAACCGAATCTCTTCTCACAACAACAAAAAATATGCAGCATTTATTACTTCATTTAGTTGTGGGCCACAGATTCCGGGTTCAATTAATGTCTACTTTGTTTGGCTAACAAATTGAACAAACTCGCAATTGCGGCCGCAACATGACTTTATTTTATTTGCTCTCGTTGCAGTTGCAGTTGGAGTCTCAGTGGTTCAGTGGCTCAGTCGCCCGGCAGCCTGTCGTTGATTATTGCCTTTGGCTGAAGACAATCAGCCTGCAGACTGCAGTGCAATTTGCCTGGAGGCACAAAAAAAATAAATTTGAGTTCAGTTGCCGGGTCAAGCAACTGCTACTGAATTTAACCGAAAAAAATATATATCTGCAGCTCCATTCGAGGGCAAACAAAATCTTTTATTTTATTTTGGGATCGGTGGTATCTGCATCTGCAGTTAAGAGTTTAGAGCTAGAGCGGCGAACAGAAATTGTTTTGATAACAATCTCTTGGCGAAAATGCTTCGGAGTCGAACAATAACGTGCCAAAAGTTGCTACTGAATTTTAAATATTAATATCTCAGCCAGATACTTGGAGGTAGCCTGGCGACACAGCCGGCCCTGGCCCCGCCCCTGGCATACTTTGGGCCCTGCTTTCGGGGGCGCGCACGTTTTGGTTGTAGCGGAAAAGTTTTACTTTGAGCATGAAAAATATCTTGTTTAGATTTTATTTTTCAGATAGACGACAAGTAGACTTAATTATCATTTTTCGCGAATACATAAATACATTAACTTCGCTCCGAGCTCCCTCCCTCCTTCAGCTTATTGAGGGCGGCTCTCTGCCTCATTTTGGCCAACTTTCGCCGGTGGGAAATGGCCAACTAAGCCGAAGCCGATGTCGAACCCGAAGCCAAAAACACCGCACACACAATCACAATCATTTCCCAGCAAATCTATGCGCATCTCTATGCAAATGTGTGTTGTATCCGAGCCGAATTAAGAATAGCAGAATACTTAGTACCTCGTACCCAGTATCCACTGGACCAGGTTCGAACCCATGGCCATCCCCAGACCCAGAGTCAGAGTCAGACGCTGGCAAACATATTTTCCATGTCGATGCCATCGATTGCGTTATGCAAAATATATGCAAATGCCATAAATACAGCAGCGGCAGGGCAGCATCTTCGAGCAGTTTTCTTTTCTGTCTTTTGGGTTTTTCGGCTTTCAGCTTTCTGTGTGCTTTTCCAGCGAAACATCTTTGAAGAGTCGCGACCAGGAGATTTGAGAGATTTGTGAAATTTATCGGGCCAGTTGGGAGTGGGTGCGATGGATCCCCCTATCCGAATGCCAAGGTGTCGAGAGGTGGCCTAGGTGGGTGTTTGTTTGCATTCGCGGCTTCATTCTCGGAACGGTAGTTAGGCGCTGCCTGGAATAATCGACGACTTTGACAACATTTGAATATCGCTGTCTGGCTGCCTAAATTGAGTTTCGAAAATCTGCAAAATCACGAAGTTGAA